GGGTCTTGGTTTTTCCTTTCCCTTGTGGATTCACAGTAATTCTGTGACTTCATTCTCTACCCACTTGTCTGTTCCTGCTGCGGGCTCTTTAGTCTAAACAGCTAATACCCCTTTCTGGTCTACTACAATAGCCTCCTGACTGGTTTCCCTGCTTTCTACCCCCAGCCCCAATTCACTTTTCACACAGTCTTCTGAGCAACATTCAAAACATGAATCAACTCATTCCCTTCCCATGCTTAAAACTCTTCAAATATTTTCTTTCGACTAAGGTCCAAACTCTGCAGGATGACCTTCAAGACTGTGTATGATCTGACCATTGGTTAGCTCTGCTACTGAATCACATACCATTTGCTGTCTAATTCATTACTCCCCACCTACGGTGGTCTCACTTTAGTTCCTAAGTGGCACAAAGCTTTCCTGCCTCAGGACCTTTGCATTGGGTGCTTCCTTTGCCTGGAACACTCTCTCCCTGGCCTGTAGGGGCCAATAAGTGTTAATTGAACAAATGAGAACAGTAGATTGCCTCTCTTTTATGAATGATATAAATAATAAGTTATATGAAAAATTATGTTGTTAATAATTTATTTAGTCATTTATATTTATGACATTTAAATTATATGGGCTTAATATAATTAGGCTATGGGTTTTCTAAAGCATGTTTATATGTTTCCATGGATGGAGTAAGAAGGGAGCAGCAGTGGGAGTGGGAGGAAATGTATTAGCATGTGATAACCATGAATCTGTATTCCTGTGAGGCAGGTGTAAATATCCCTGTTTTCCAGAAATTAGGCAATTGAAGAAGTAACTGGCTACGAGTGAGCAGGAAGGAAGCAGCGGGTCTGGAACTCACAGGCCGTCTGATGCCAGCCCCCGGATGTGCTCCCCTGGTCCTGGTGCCTCGGAGCAGACGCAGCTGAGAGGTGAGGTTTGAGGGTAAGAAAAGGGGGACACACCTGCAAACGCCGGCTTTTCTGTTCACATGGGAAAGCATCACCGGCCGGCCGCAGTGAATCAGAGAGTCTGGACATCTTAGCTGCATCCGAGTCTGCCTTGATTGTCGCCCCAGCCTGCAGGGGCTGAATTAGGCCCCAGCTTCAAAACCCGGTACACATACAGGCAGATAAGGTGGGGATACAGTTAGGTATGACAATTAATAAGCCGCCATCTGCTAAAACATCACACACTGAGTGAGACTTAACATGGTTCTGGGTTTCTTTGAATGTGTTTTTTTTTTTTTCCCCTTCACCATATGTGCTTAAAGTCTCTAAAAAGGAAACAGGAATGTGTAAAAGAATGGTGACATTCTGTAGTGTGTCAGTGGAATGAGAAACTTATCAGGCACCATCTATTTCTGGGAGTTTGTGGTATTTTATGGTTCCAGGCTTCCAGTTAGTGACAAAATGGCACTGCCAAGATGACTTACCACATGTATGGGGTAGAGAAGAGCACTGTGGGAGGTGCTACTTCTTAAAGTTACTTTGGCCTTGCCCAGGACTAAGTTGACACACAGACAGAAAATACCCCTTTTTCTCTAAGGCCTAATGAAAATAACATCTCATCTGCTCGGTTTACACATATTTTCCCCAGTGGAGAGAAATTATTGTCCTAAATTTTCGTATTGCATTTTGCTTGCACCTCTGTGATAGCACTACCCCCAGGCAAGCCCACCTTCCAGCCTCTTGCATTTCTATCTTCCTCCTCCACTAACCTACAGCCCCTGAGGGCAGTCGCCGTCAACTTTGCATAATCTGCTGGGGCCTAGCGCAGTGACTTACTTGGGAGGTGCTCAGTACATGTTGAATTAAAATAGAACTGTTTTAAAAAAACAATTTAGAATCATGACTTTAGTACCACATACCTCAATTATTTACAGACATGACATATTGGAGATCAATAACATAATGGACTATATCCTTACATTAAACACTAAAAAAATTACCAAGGAAAAAAATCCCCACTCTTTATGAAAGCCAGTATGTGGTTTAGGTTCAATTGCACTGTGTAAATTCCCTGGAATCCAAATGTTTGAAATAAAGAAGGATATTGCTTTTGGTCTTGGCACTGGGGCAAAGGGTGAAAGCCTTTTAGAATATTCATGGTTAGCTTAGCATAGGTATGTCAATAAATCATTGCCATAGCTCTGTGATAATCGGAGATCTCTCTCTCTCTCTCTTCCTCCTCTCCCCCGAACGTTTTTATAGGGAAATATTTATTTAAAAACTTCCTGACTGTAAAGAGAAATACAATGAATGTCATAAAGCACCTATATATCATGATAGTGTGTTTCGAGCACGCAAAGTGTTTTGTTTTCTAAATATTTAAACAAGGACAACACATCAGTTGGGATGTTAAAATGCTATGGGAATACTGACAGAAACAAAGGGAGACTCTAGAGTAATATAGCAGATGATTCTCTCTGCCCGAGAAAGGAGAGTTGGTAGATAAGTGATTACATAATCAAAGTAATGTTTCAGGAAGATGCATTTGGCAACGGTGCACAGGATACCTGCAGGCAGGGTCACTACGGGAGTGGAGGGACCAAGGAGGAAGCCGTGATAATACTTCAGACGTGAGGTGAGAGCGGCATAGGGAAAGCAAGCTGTAGAAATGGAGAGGAAAAATCGGTTATAAAAGACGTGTCAAAGGAAAAATCCCCATGACTTTGTGAATGCGATAGATAATTTTAAAAGATTGAGTCTAGGTGAACGGCTTGTCAATACAGAGAGAAAGAAGTGGGGAGGGGCAGTTGAACCCCAGGGGGATATAAGAGTTTACTTTTGGACATACTGAGTTCAATCACATAGTGAGACAGCCAGGGGGAAATTCTCTGCCTCCATCCCTGTCATTTTAGGATATTGTTGTTCTCGGAGGGATGCATGGGAGATAGCAGATCTGGAGATAGCAAAGAGATATTTCAGACAAGGAAAGAACAAGCTCAGTTTAAAAATGCTGAGGTCACAGTACAGCCACAGCTGAGACATGCTACGGTGCTCTGGCTGGATATTTGATCTCACAGCACGTTGACTCCCGGCCAGGCTAAGTGCCCTCATACATTGACTGTATTCTGGCTTATATTTCTGCTTCTACTCATCTACAAGTATTTAGCTTGTAGTCAGGCATTAGAACATGATGACTTTATAATTTAAAAATGTAGTAACAGTTCTTATATTACAGTGGTCCAAAATATTGAAGCCTCCAAATTTGCGAAGTAGTCACATAAATCAAAGAGTCAATACTCTGACTATAATGACAGTATTCCTGACTGAATGCTCTCGGTCAAATTTAATCCATCCTTTGATAACTAACTCAAAAGTTACTGTCTTTAAGTAGCCACTAGACTCCCCCAAGCAGTTAGTTTATTTCACTGTCCATGTTCCCATAATACTTTGTTCTTATTTCTACGAGGGCACCGACAACAGACTACATATGTGTGTCTGTCTGTTGCCACTAAGCTGGGAGCATCTTGAAGATGGGAACTATTTATGTATCTTTGTATTCCCCAATCCCCCAACAGAGTAAGGGTTAGTGGGTGGTATTACATTGTTGGAAATACCCAAAAGAGAAATGTTAAGAACACGGATGAAGCAATGTGCAGTTGCCGTAGCCAAGCCTGTGTACGCATCATATGTCACATCCCTGCTGATGGTGTTATTGCTGCACCAGCAGAGGCAGTGCGCTCATTACATGCTGCTGGCCCATATTTGTAATGTGTGACATTTTTTAATGAAATACTGTCAAGGGTAATTCATCATATAGTAACTTTTGGATTATATCCTGAGACTGGTCTTAAACATAGACATATTGAACTTCAAGGATAATGCTATTTTCTAAAGAGAGTACGATGCAAGGGTTCTGGCTAGAAAAATGAGGCAGAACATTATGTCCTTTTAAGTTCACCTGATGTGCCTGAAAAAGAGGTCTGCTTCTGTCTACTCCAGCTGGGGACAGGGTTATTGCGTGAAGATAATCAGGTGCCTCTGAAATGTGGTAGAATATTTCTTTCCTGTAGAACATCAGTGTTTTAAAAGTGAGTGAAGACTTGCTAAAGGTTTATAATCACTTTGTCTCAAGTGGTATTAGAAAAAAATAAAAGGACACATGACAACTTGAGTGAATTTCAGATGTCAACTGTAGCCTCACAGTTAAAGGTATTCTCCCTGCATATCCATAAAGATCTAGGATTTTTACACATATTATAGAGTATAAATAAAAGAAAGCTTCTAAATCCCATCATTTTGTGTAAGTCCAGATAAGACTCCTTTGATGAGCTTAGCATTTCCTTTTAAGGGAAAGCTTGTAGGTGAGAGAAACACTAAAATTATAATTCTTTCTCTTCCTTAATTAGACTGGAGCTCACCATAGATCTTGCTGAAACTGTGAGAAAATCCAAGCAATAATTCACATTGTCATGTCAGCAGAAATGGGCAGGGGGGTCCTATATGACTGAAAGATTTGCTTAAGCCATCTCTCTGTGAACTGAAAGGCTCAGAAGGGGTAAAAGTCTTCATCAGAAATATACCCTCTGAAGATACTGAGCATGAACAGCAATGAAAATAAATTTGAGCAAGATTCTTATACTACCTTTACAGATGGCATTCCAGAGGAAATATATAAATCACATTAATACCAACTGATGTGGGTCACTAATTAATAAGTCCCATTAAATTGTGGAGTAATGACATTTAGCATCTAATGAATGCCTCATAATCTCTTCATCATTAATATTTCATGGCATAAGAACACAAGACTTGGCATCCCTGGGCTCATGCAGTGTTATTTGTCTCTGGGCACCAAGTGGCACCTCTGTTGTAAGAATACACAACAGAAGCAATTAACCCTTTCAGTACCCTGGGTCCTAACATTTCCTTATGTTAGAAAATGTGAACCTGCCTGCCATTCTCAGAATTAACATCTGTGACTCCTGGGTGCCCTGGAAGGACAGAAGGGAACTAACATGTTGACTTTGGTGTGTGGTATTGCTTTGTTGTTGACCTTCCCAGTCCATTCAAGAAACTTGCAGAGGAGGAAAATCATTACTTTGATTTATTACCAGGGCTTTCTTTATTCAAAGGCAATAATCACCTCACAGAGCAGGTGCCATTGCAGGGGTTTATTGATCCTATGCCCTTCCAGAAATTTCAGGAGGCTGTCACTCTGGCAGGAGACGGAGAAGGTCAAAGAAAAAGAAGTCCATCTTTGCGCAGGCTAAATAGAAGCGGGAGAAACTCTCCAGCCAGCGGTCCACTGCTCCAGGGACACTCGGCATCTTTTCTTTCAGAAGAGGGGCTGGAGCAGAGAAAACGCTCAGCGCTTGCAACGGTCAAGTGAGAGGGAAAGAGGAAGGCGACAGGGAGCTGCTAGGGGCGGGAGAAAGGGTCTTCAGCTCCCGATCAAGATCCCGAAGAGTTAAATACTACCACGCAGCCCGACCTGGTGGGATTTGCTTCTGGGTGCAAAACGGGACACTGATCAAAATCAAGTTGGACAAGTGACGAGGCTGAGTCTGATGTTGGTGGATGTCTTTTAACATCTCAGGAGGGCAGAGGACCGGAGACACTGTGCTCAGGGGTGGTTGGAAAGAAGCAGCATTGAGTCCAGGGAGGGGACGTCAAGAGACACGGAGCCGGGAAACAGAGGGACGAATGAGCGGGGAAAAGAGAGAGGAAGAGTTGACGAAAAGTAAGGGGAAAGTAGGGACAGGGTTAAGGGGAGAGAGGGGGGTTAGAGAGAGAAAAGTGCGGGCGGCGAGGAGGGATTGAAAAGGGAAGGGGATCGCTGGGGACCAGGGCCGACAGTTAGATCTGGAGGAGGGGAGAGCGGCGAGGGGAGCGAGCGAGAAGGGGGCGCAGAGAGTGAGCCCCGGGGGCTGGGAGAGGAGGGCAAGAAAGTGCGAGCGGCGCGGGGGTGGGCGAGGAGACTGGGGGCCGGCGAAGGGACCGGAGGGAGGCGGGAAGGAGAGCTAAGGAAGGGGAAGAGGAGCCCGCGGGGCCGGCAGCCAGGGGCGGGGAGGCCGCGGGAGGGAGGTGGGGGGCAGGTGGGGGAACGCGGGAGGGAGCGCGGAGCAGAGCCGAGGCCAAGTGCATTGTGTCTGGCGGTGGCGCGCGATCCCACCGGCGGCTGCGGCGGGGCGGGAAGCCATGGAGCCTCGGGCGCTCGTCACGGCGCTCAGCCTCGGCCTCAGCCTCTGCTCCCTGGGGCTGCTGGTCACGGCCATCTTCACCGACCACTGGTACGAGACCGACCCCCGGCGCCACAAGGAGAGCTGCGAGCGCAGCCGCACGGGCGCCGACCCGCCGGACCAGAAGAACCGCCTGATGCCGCTGTCGCACCTGCCGCTGCGGGACTCGCCCCCGCTGGGGCGCCGGCTGCTCCCGGGCGGCCCCGGGCGCGCGGACCCCGAGTCCTGGCGCTCGCTGCTGGGGCTCGGCGGGCTGGACGCCGAGTGCGGCCGGCCGCTCTTCGCCACCTACTCGGGCCTCTGGAGGAAGTGCTACTTCCTGGGCATCGACCGGGACATCGACACCCTCATCCTGAAAGGTGAGCGGCGGGCACGCCTAGCGTCCTGGGCGCCGCGCGTGGAGCGCAGCCCGTGGCTCCCCGTGGGCGCGCCGGTCCCCGCGGCCACCTCCCCGCCGCGTCCCCGCGCTCCGCTCTCCGGCACATTCTTTCATCCTTCCCCGCCGCCTCCCTTCTTTATCCTTCTTCCTTTCTTTCCCACCCGCTCGCCGTTCCTCCTTTCTTTCCCCCTCTGGTACATCTTTCCATGACTCTCTTCGTCCCTCCTCATCCAGTTCTTCCTTTTTCCCCTTCTCGCAAGTCTTCCTTTGCCGCCTTATTGGCCTCTTCTTTCCCTCTCCTCCTCCTCCCTGTCTTTGTACACCTGCCTCACTTGGAATGCCTGTGTCGGCTTTCTTGAAGGGGCTGCCCATCGGGTTCCCAGGAGGCTCCTTCCCCCGAGTTGTGCTTTCCTTTTAGAAATATCTTTGGAAGAAAAGTGCTGCAAAGCTGGGGAGAGGGGGAGAGGGGCTTTTTCTTGTGTTGACCCGATGTTGGTAGCAGACGGAACTGATGTGGTAGCTGGCAGGCTAATGGGGAGCTAAGAAGGCCTGAGGAACCTTCCTCCAAACCTCCCAAGTGCAGGGTTCCTATGGATTAGACCTCAAATATACCATCAATGCTTTGGGGGCGGCAGCTGAGCGCAGATCGGACATCTACCTTTTTTCAACCTTGGTGGTGGCCCGGCACACAGTCCTCAGTGTCTAGGCACATCCAGGTAAGGAGAGGAGAGAACCTGCCTAAACCCTTGAAAGCAGAGCTGTCAGATTTGTGCGTGGACTCTCTACATAATCACTCTCTTTTACTTTTGTGCTATCTTGTAAGGCTGCTTCGGTTGTTTTGTAATTTGGCACTGAGTTGTAGAGCATCAATATGCTCTTCTGAAATCTACACAACACCTGGGCCCCATGTATGTAATCAGTTGGATTTTTTTTTTTAAAAAAAATTTCGTTTATGTAAAAATGTTCTACGTGACAGTCCTATTGGGGAAGCTCCTTTCTAACTTTCAGAGCTCCACCCTTAATATAATTTTTTTATTTGATATAAAAAAGAAACCTTTTTTCTCTTGGACTATGAAAAAAAGAAAAAGTCAAAAATCAGTCCATCTTAGTATTTAGTAGCCATTCAGGAAAACAAATGAACAGGCTTGTGTCGTATTCCGGTGTGGAATGGAATTGCTTAGAAAAGAGGGGGTTAATAATATTTGGGCCTTCAGAATCTTGTTGGCATATTCTTCATTTCTCAGATTGTCAACTTCCTCCTCCCTATGGCTAGCTCTGCTGGGGACTGCCATCTGAAACCTGTCTGTTCATGGAAGAACTCCAGAGCTTGTGGGGGAATTACACCCAGTAACCTTCCTTTGGGAAGTGCACCTTTTCCTTTCCTCTCCTAACTTGCACCCAAATCTGATTTCTCCTCAGGAAGATGCTGCATAATTAATTCTGATAGTAGCATAGCACATGAACAAACTGTAAAAGCTGAATTTGGAGGCTCAGTTATGGAATGCTCATTTAGGCAAGGCAATTTTGAAAGCTAAGCAGTGTAGTCTGTCTTTGGAAATGACAGGGCTGCATTTCCTCACACTTTTTCTATGCCTGGAGTATTTGATTGCATGTAAATTGGATATAGAGTAATGCCTGTAATATCAGGGCAGAGTCCAACCCAGCCACAGGAGAAGGACCTCTGTAGGACACTGCACATTCCCCACCACTGTAGGTGCCCTGGCAAGCTGAGGTGCCCTGCTCCTGGTCAGTCCAGAATCAAATAATCTTTGAGACAAAAGGGACTTCAGAGGTTATTGGATCCAACCTCCTACCCGTTTTTCAAACTCCCTTCTTGTACCATCGTTCTGACAAATGGTTATCTAGCCTAGTACTTTCGTAAGACAGGATTTGTATACTTTTAAAAAATTCTATTTTTCTAGGCCTGATTGTTTTAGGTTAAAACAATCTCTGGTTTAAAACATTAATGGCGTTTAGCTAATCCTTTGGGCAAAACACTACAAAATCCTAGGTTATAAACAGAAGGCACGGGCTCCATTGAGGGCTCTGCTGCTAAATTGCAGCACAGCCTCCAACAGGTGGCCAGGCCTCCTTGGCCTTCGGTTTCTTGTCCATAGTATTAGAAAGGCTGAGTGTTCATTAGGGAATTTTCTGGTTTTACGATCTATTGTTGGCTGAGTGTTCATCAGGGAATTTCCTAGTTTTGAGATCTATCGTTGCTGTTAATAATAACAACGTAAATTTAGCTGCCTGGGGAGTGAATAAGCTGACATTATTAAGACATGAGGAGTTTGGAAAAAATGACAGACATGAGTACCTTATAGAATCATAACTTGTTGTTTGGAAAATGGCCAAAAATGCCTCCAGTACTTGCAACGCTGTTACTAACCTACCTTGGGCTAGCTACCCACGTCTTCTGGATGGCAGTTTCATCTGTGAAGTGAATGGGTAAAATGAACATCTTTGAAGTTCTATAAATAATTTGAGGAAGGAAAATGCTGCTGACATTTTCCTTTTTCAAATAGATGATTTTGGCACCCATATTAGGTAAACATTATTACCTTTGTTTTGACATCTGACATTATGTGGTATGGCTGTGGTATGAATTTCTTAAATGAGTCATATATATTTAGAAATTCACATCACATCCAATTAAAAAAATTGGATAACTAGGGTCCCAAGTTCCGTTCTTACTCCCTTCTCTGAATTACCTTGGTTATGAGTCTTAACATTTAGAAATTTGAATAATAGGAAATGAAAAAAAAGTAGAGTCAGATGGGAAGCGAGGGGAGGGTTGGGAGAAGACTGCTAGAACCACCTGGCATATTTAGTGAGCTTCTGAGAGAAAATGAGATCTGTTTTTCCTCATTTGGACTTAGAGGTCAAAGCCAGGAAGAAGATGGGTGAAAGTTGCTGAGGAAAATGTAGAGTTGAAGAGTTGATAGTATGGAAAATATTCTCACAATTGGAATTGATTGCATTTCCTGTGACTGGAAGCAAGCATTTTTGAGAGATGTAGAGGAGACACAAACAGTCAATGTGGACAGTGAGAGATCAGTTTAGAAATGAAATGTGTAGACTCTCTAGTCTTAATCTACATAAAGAAATCTCATGAGCCAGAAAAGTATTGATCTCAATGGGAAAAGTAGCTGGGAAAAATCATCACATTCTGATTGTTAGCCTTTCATTGTGATTCTTGTTCACTTCTAGCCCAGAGCGACCCTTGAAGGTCTAGAGTGAACCTTCAACCCAAGGACCTTCAATGAGAATGGAGGTGAAGTTATTGATCAACCCATTAAGGACCAATATTAGAACCCAATGCTACCAGACTGACTTTTGGTGCTAAGGAAGCTCTGCTGGTCAAAGTAAGAACTGTCTCTGATAAGTGTGCAAATGAAGTTATCCTCCACTCAGCAATAAAAATGTAGAAGACTTGAGGGAGCCTAGTGGTAGGAACTTGAGAGAAGAGACTCAAATCAGGGAGCCTCAGGCCCCTCGGTGCCCCGGGGACTGTCCAGGGTTTGTTTGAAAGACACTTTTATCTGTAAAAGTCACAGAAAGTCAGAGAGGTAGGAAGGTGGCATGGATTGTAGGAGGGAGCCCAGGACATGAGAGAGGGTGACCTAAAGACAGGTTCTTTATTCCACACCATCTCCCTATCCTGAGGTTGGATTAACATTAAATTATGACTTTACCATTGCTTCCTTTACAAAATTCCTGAGTCTTAGTTCATCTAAACAATGGGACAGATAATATTTATTTCATTTATTCATTTACCCAATTTATTTACTCAACAAATATATGTTTCAGTGTGTCAAGAATTGCTCTAGGCATAGAAGATACAGGAGTGAACGAAATGGATAAAAATGCCTGCCCTCATAGCGTTTATATCAAGTAGTGGATTTATTTTCTAGTGGATTATACGGTAACTACTCTAGGTTATGGGACAAACACTGAAGGAAGGCTGCTGGAATTGGTAAGCAAATGACAGAAAATAGAGTGCAAAGTGGCTGGGCACTGTGCCCTTGGGGAGATGTTTAGCCATTCTGTTTCAATTCTTATGTTTAAAGTACTGGATAAACAGTAAAATGAGAGGACAGATGGAATGAGACTCAGAAATAT